GGGAGGGGGAGAGATAGAGGATGGGGGAGGGGGAGAGATAGAGGATTGGGGAGGGGGAGAGATAGAGGATGGGGGAGGGGGAGAGATAGAGGATGGGGAGGGGGAGAGATAGAGGATGGGGGAGGGAGAGAGATAGAGGATTGGGGAGGGGGAGAGATAGAGGATGGGGAGGGGAGGGGGAGGGAGAGAGGATAGGGGAGAGGGGAGAGGATAGGGGAGAGGGAGGGAGAGGGAGAGGGGAGAGGATAGGGAGAGGGAGAGGGAGAGGGAGAGGGGGAGAGGCTAGGGGAGAGGGAGAGGGGAGAGGGGAGAGGGAGAGGATAGGGAGAGGGGAAGGGAGAGAAGGAGAGGGTTGAGGAGAGGGGGAGAGAGGGACACGGTTGGGGGAGGGGGAGAGGGAGAGGGAAAGGAAAGCTGGCAAAGAGAAAATAAGTAAGAAGAAGGGGGAGGAGTGTAGCGAAAAGGGGTTAAACACCAAACAATAAAAAAACGAAATTCAAACAAGGTGGAAAGGGGTCGATGTAATTACCAAGCGAGTGACAAGAAGCTAAAACACAATTACGACAACGTAGCTAAAAATAACACCACGTCTACCTATTCCCACACAGCAACGGAATAACAGCCATCAAGAATTCCCTATCCGTATAGTAACCTACACGCCGACCGCCTACTAATAGTTGAACACCCCCCCTCTAACATGCAAGTGTGAAAGGGAGGTTGATGTCAGGCGACAATTCACTTTTAAATACCTAATGTGGAGGTGATTTGATTCATAACCTAATTGCATTTCATGATGACGTTCCCTGGGGAGGAAATATTGTCAATGAACCTGCAAAATTTTAGAACTGTTCGCTCAATTTGTCCGTAAAACTAAAGGTGACAGCTCACGGAAGTTGGGAATTCTGGCAATACACAGGTTTGTCCATGCATGAAAACGTTATTTAGCTGTAACTGACATTCATTGGCATTCTACTGTTAACTTTGTTCGTATATTTTAATGGTAAAACGTTGTTAGTTGTGTATATTTCTCACTTTCTCTAAATTGCCAAACCTTTCCAACTGTACTATACACTCACGCTTGCCAACAGGTCCCAAATACTTCACATCACATCTTTTTTAAGACGTCCTTACCAAATTTAATACCAACCGTTTCTCGAGACACTTATACTTATGCTTACCACGTTGTCCCATAAATAATCAATAACAGAAACATTATAAAGCTAAATGAAATCAGTTTAGGATTCCCCCGCAGTTGGCAATCCTGACGTCGCACCAATCAGCTGACAACAGCCAAAACACTCCGCTTTTCGACTTACCTTTCGTTGCACAGTAAGATTCCTCCCTCTCCACACGTTGCAATGCCTTTAATTCATGGATGTGCCGATTAAAAATACACCAGAGACGAAAAAAATTCAGTAACTGCGCGGAGAGCTGGAGTAACCGCCCAGATGAAGCACCGAACAAAGAATTTGCTAGAGCGTCATTTTGAAAAGTTTTTTTTCCCCCTTTTTCGACTATTTCCCACTCTCTTCAGCAATCCACCACCGTATTTTTTTCAAACCATCGGTAGGGTACACCTAACCGGACATTCTCACTGCTCCAAGAAGTCAATTTCTGTCCAGAATCGCGAGAATTCCGCCAACATTTTGGGCGAGGCGCAACTGGTCGGGCGTGTGCTTAAGCCAGACGTGTTGTGAGAAAGCCAGCTGATTCCGCAAGGACTCTCTCGCTCTCGTCCCAAGCGGCTCTCCGCTGCAACTCGCTCTTTTTTTTCTTTCTCTCTCTCTCACTCGCTGGTCTTTGTTCAGACAATATGATACATTTAAACTTGTCCTTATCGTCATCTAGGGTTGATGTCGTAACTATTTTCGTGCGGTGTATTGGTGTGTCTTCCCAGATGTGTGGTACAGATGACCTATCATATCAGGGGGTATCTTTTCTATTGATCACGTGAAAACCACGCTCTTTGAGACAACGTAAAACGTACCAAAGCCAGGCTATCAGCAGTGTAAACGAAACCAGAACCTTGAAATCAACGTTTAAAGATTCCCAACACTATTTTATTGTCAGGCACTCAGATATAATAGCAAATGGCACCCGAAAACACGCTGATACTGTTGTTGTCAAGTGAAATGTTTAGGCAAACGTACTCTGCGCATGCATGTATGACTCATGCCAAAGAATGTCGCTTGATGTAAGAAGATTGCAACTTTAAATGATTCTGAGGTTGAAATGATGCGTTATATAATTTATATGTAATTTTTTTTTATCCCGGTTTTTAAACATTTCTTGCTCCATGTCTTTTTTGTAGATTTCCATTGTAAACAGAACTGTGTCGCGTGTAGTAACATCAGTTTTATCCAAGGCCGGAATGAAATGAATTTGTTTACGCTATATAATGAGAGATAAAATTCGAAACAATGGTGATATTTATGCTGTGTTGTTGTAGTGATGATGTTAGTATTCTATTGAAACAACCCAGGCAGAAGCTTTTGTTGTGGAGAAACGATTACTTTCTGTTATCATGTTAAGTAAATATTATGCTAATATCATAAATATTTGGATTTCTAAATCGGTCTTCAAACGTTTTTCATCACTACCCAGTTTGATTTGTATACTACCTTCACGAGCCAGTATGTCCATTCTGTCTCTCAAGACGATATCATTTCATACATGCACACACACACATATGTATATACACATACATATATATATATATATATATATATATATATATATATATATATATATATATATATATATATATACATGTATATATAACTTCATCTCTCTCTCTCTCTCTCTCTCTCTCTCTCTCTCTCTCTCTCTCTCTCTATATATATATATATATATATATATATATATATATATATATATATATATAGAGATATGTATACAATGAGTTCACATATATATGTATATAAGGTTTTATATATGTGTTCATATATATATATATATATATATATATATATATATATATATATATATATGTGTGTGTGTGTGTGTGATAATGATAATCATCACCATCATCATAACCATCATCATCTTCATCATTAAGTGGCGACCCATTAAACATGAGTTTGTGACCCAGTACTGGGTCGCGACCCGTGCTGTGAAGAGCCCTGTTTCTTTAAACAAAACATATTAGCAAAAGTTAATGATATAAAACAGCTTGTTTTAATGTCCATTCTGTGTTTCCAAAATTATAATCATGTTATGCAATTAAAATTCAATAGAAAATGTTGATGTATGACGACAGTAGTTTCGATTTTTTTTTATTAAGAGCTTCACTTTCATTTGTTATGTAGTGAACGTGTAATTGAATTTCTTTTATCGAAAGACGATATAATTTTTTTATTAGGAAGGGCAAAAAAAAAGAGAACTTTTTGTCACATAGTTTATGATGGCTTATTTTACTAATTAATTGGGTATTTTTCTTCTGTACATATTGAAAAAAAAATGTGTATTTATTCAATGTTGATGTTTTAATATTTTGCTCAGTAATAAGAATAAACCAAAAAATCTGAACGTTCTCGGTTTAATATTCGTTATTTGAATTTTAGCAGTGAGAATTTCAGTATTTGATATTACTAAAATAATAGAGGAGTAGCTTTAGTGACAATAAGAATGGTGACAATGGTGATGATGATGATGATAGTGATTATTACGATAATGATTATGATAACAAGAATAAAACAACAAAAAACAATGATGGTAACGGCCGTGATGTTAAATAACAATCCAAATTATAATAATACATTCTCTGGTTACACAAATTGAGAAGAATTACCTCTTCTAAAACAATGCAAATTTTCCCCATTGTCTATTGTCAGTCTGTGCTACTTTGATGACATTCCTTTGAACTTTTTGATTCTGAAAGTCATAAATCTGGTAATGAAAGTTAGTCGCTGAGTAAGTGAAATGAATTAGTGAATGTGTGTTAGTCGGTGAATGCGCGGGTAAAAGGGAGAAAAAAGAAGGGTGAAAAAGAGAGAGAGAGAAAGGGTGTATGAACGTAAGTTAAGTTGTAAATGCATGGGTGTAAATTTGAAAGAACGGGTTAGGGGCTCCTCAACCTCTCTCCTTACCTAAAAAAATGAAATATAAGTTACTTATGTAAATGTAAGTCCAATATAGCTTCTCTCGTTTAATAAAAAAATGAAAACTGGTTTGTTGACTGACAAGACAGCTCTGTCTTCTGCCTGAACAGAGGAAGTTCCTTTCTCTTCAATTCACAATCAGTTCACACATAAACTGACATCACACCAGCAAACAAGAAAGTGAAAAAAAACGAAACAAAACTGACGCAAGTTGTACACGGCCAGTGAACTACAGATGAGCATCATATAACAAAGGACAGAGAAGTTAACTGTCACGCAGCTTCGGCCCTTCACGACTGTACCAAAATAGATCATACTCTCCAACGTTTACGCGAACTTTGCAGACTCCGCCAGATCGCGATGGTTCATAAACAACATTAATATTAGCAGTTGCATAGAAAGAGTCAGCGGAAGAGGTTGCCAGTGAACTGTTGCCATGTTTTGTCTAACAGAGATCGGCTATGGTGATCCGAGACATTTCCTAACTACGTAGTACCATAGTTCTATACTTTGAATCCCCATATACATCCCATTTTCCCCCAAACCCGCTCAATTACATAATGTCAAGTAGGCTAAACCAACCCACCAACTCTCCCTGAAATAAAAATGTACACCGGAGATAAATTCCAATCCAACAGAAATAGCAAAATCAACAACTTCGTCATATTTAGTAGTCCTCGTACTTTCTGTGCTTCACAAAACAAGGCAACGTTGCCACCTGTCGAGAGCGGCTGGGGACGAGAGTGATCATCAGCTGGACGGCCCAAACACACCCCCTCCGACCCGAGCCTCAGGCCAGCATGTCGATGACGTGAACGTTGAGAGAAAACGTGGCTCGTTCTCGCGATAACTCCAGTATACTGGGTGTCTTTTTTTTTCTACATCTACCTTTACGTATATGCACTCTGTTGAAGATATGTAAATAATAATGATTTATTTTGAGAAAAATATTGTTCGCTCTTGTTGTTTTGTCTTTTTTTTCCCTTTTTTTTATTGGGGTAGTAACTGCACAGCCTGTCAGTGCGTTGGTAAGTATTCATCTATTTACGTCGCATTCAAGGACAACGCCGCTGCTATTTTTAGCCTATTACCTCACCCAAAATATCGATATGCACAATGCAAAAGAAACTCACAGGTGTAATTTTTATTTTATTATTATTATTGTTATAATGATAATAATAATGATAATAATAATAATAATTATTATTATTATTGTTATTATTATTATTATTATTATTATTATTATTATTATTATTATTATTATTGTTATTATTATTATTATTATCATTATTATTATTATTATTATTATTATTATTATTATTATTATTATTATTATTATCATTATTATTGTTATTATTATTATCATTATTATTATTATCATTATTATTATTATTATTATTATTATTATTATTATTATTGTTATTTTTATTATTATTATTATTGTTATTATTATTATTATTACCATTATTATTATTGCTCGTGTTATTCTTTAACTGTCATTTCGATTTTTGTTGTTTCATTATGAGTGTCGCTGATATTACTACTACTGCTATGATTTGTAATTCTAATTAGCTTTGGTGTTTTTATTTTCATGGTGTCTTTATTATTATAATCATACTATCGCTAATGATACTATGATTATTAAACCCACTTACATTAGTATTATTTTGTTGCACTGGAATTATCATACGCATTTTTATTCATTTTATTATTATCATCACCAGCATAATTATTATCATTATCATCATTAAAACTGTCATCATTACTGTCAGTACCATAATTATCCACGTCATGTTATTGACGTTATTTCTATTTTAATAGGATTATCATTTAGTACAATTATTCTATTGGAATTACTATCATCACTATTAAGATTAATGTAGTTATTGCCACCATCACTCTCACTGTTATTGTAATCATGTCCAATGTGCAGATAATATTGAAAACGTTAATAATACTTATGACGACAGTTATAATCGTACTGCACCAATTAGGGCCCATATTGGGAAATTTACACTCAGAATATTTCATGCAGCAAGATTTAATGAGTGTTGGGCAAAGCTACGCTGGCATGAACTACCTATTATATATTTTTAATTAATAACATTTACTCGTATGAACCAAACACATTAATCATGATGAGTATGAAGCAATGAAGAAATGTGTCACTGGTAATTTGAAACAGTGACTATATCTATCAAAGGAGGTATATATTTATGTATTCATCTGTCAATCTGTTTTTAGATCTATCTGCCATTTTATTTACATAGACATCTATCAGTCTATTCATATATTTATCTCAATCTGTTTATATATTTGTCCAACAAAATGTTTATATTTTTATCTACCAATCTATTTTTTTCTATGTACCTCTGTATCTATTCATATATTTTTCTGTCAGTTTGTATTTATCTAACAAACTGATTATACATTTACCTATCACTCTATTTGTATGATTATCTGTCAGCCTGTATATGTTAAATAGTCTACTTTCGTCAGCGCTTATTGGTTGATTGATTGGTTTGTTGGTTTACTGTCGGATCGTAATTGAATTAATGGAACTTTGGTCCGAAGGCGATCTGTTAGTAGAGTTGCAATAAGATCAATAGATTTTGGGGCAGAAAATTAGTGTTCATGGGATTTCATACGCTTTCAAATACCTTAGAAATCTAGAGTATCTGTATGTTACCTCGTAGTTATTGTGATTTACTCATTGACGTGATAATCTCTCCCTTGTTCTATGTGCATCCATTTCTCACAGTGCCGTAGTTAACCCGTGGGTTGGAGTCATAAAGCTATTCGCACGAGCACCTATTTTTTTTAGCATATTCCCCTCTCGAGTTACTCTGAGCGACTGTATTAATGGGCAGCAATAATATCCCCTGCGTGGGGTCATTTCTTCACAAATATCATTCCCAGCTCACCCAGCCCATAAACTCTTGTAACCCTAGAACATGTTTCATCCCCATCCAGCATGTTTCGACGGTTAAGCACACAAATGTTCCATCTGATATTCCTCTTGACTCGTCACCCTACTGGTTGAGCAGTTATACATTCTGTCTTTACGCAGTTTCAGTGTAATGTTGTATGTCAGTGTAGAGTTAGTAATTGGACAAAGGAAGGCGGGGATTTAGCACAGATTTAAAGAGGACGACACACGCCATAGATTCTAGTCATCTCCAAGGGACCTCTAAATAACGAGTGAGAAAATAATAGGAAATTATGAGGTTTGAAGTATATCTGGCTTCAGATTTGTTTAAAGATTCAGGTTGTATATTTTTCATTCACCAATATTTCTTGCAGACTGTCAAAACTCCATCGAAGTGAAGAGATCCTTGTCCCCAGACCCTAGATTATCATGTTTGTTATTGTTATTACTAACCTAGATTCTTTACAATAA